TCCAAGAGTCTTCACTTCTATTCACCTCAGCTGTTAGAATTAATTTTAAGCAATTATAAGAGAAATCAATCAAAATTTGCATGCAAAGCCAGAAAAAATCTAGTCCAGTACAACAAACAACATAGCCAATGTAATCCCACAAGTGCGGTCTGGGGAGAATTCCCACAAGTGGAGTCTGATGAGGATAAGACGTACGTAGACCTTACCCCTACCTTTGTGGGGTAGAGAGGTTGTTTCTGAAAAACTCTTGACTCAAAAAAAAATTAATCTAGTCCAGTCAGCAATATATAATTTTTTTTTCTTGGCCAGCAACATAATTAAAAGATCTAAAAGTTGGGGGACGGAGTAGGTAGTGAACACAGAAGTGTTGCAATAACATATCAAGATGGAAAACTTCACAGGGATATTGCCACTTCCCAGCAGGCAACATGTTGGGAGCGTTTGGTATCTACTTAGAGTTACATAGGGATAAATTCTGTAGGTATTAGTAATGCAAGGATTAATCATGTCAAAATAGTTATGCAGGATTCGGTTATTCATATATTAGTTATTCTATATTCTACCCTAATAAATAATACATAGATTCCCTCATAAATTATGCATGCATTAGGTATGTGGAAAAGAAAAATATGAACCAAACATGTATTAGCAATGCTATGTTTGATGTGGAAAAGAAAGACACCAACCTTACATTGTAACTTATGCTAGACTCTATGTGGAGATTATTTTGCCCTGCTTTTGTAACCAAACAAATATACTAGTACTCCCCCCATTTTAATTTGTTTGTTCTTATTTTCTTTTTTAGTATGTTTAAAAAAGAATGACTCTTTTCTTTTTTGGCAAATCTTTAGTTCCAACTTTTCACATTGGCATGTTTAAGACCCCAAGATTAAAGGGCAATTTAATACATTTGACATATCTTTAATTTAAAAGCACAAGATTCAAAAAAACTTCTTTACTTTTTTTAAACTCCATGGCAAGTCAAAACAGGACAAACAAATTGAAATGAAAGGAGTATAAAGTTATGCTAGTTTTAATAGATGGATAACTCCTCTGTGATCGGCAACCAAAACGACCCACAAGTTATTAAGCATAACCACATTGTAACGAAAGCTGGAAATACGTTATCTAACATGCGCCTCATGATATCAGGGGTACTTGCCTTGGTTAGGTATCTCTATATCAATAGGGCAAAAAACCGTTGTTTCAAATATGAGATACATGCAGGCAAATTGTTCACTTTTGTCTGAGGGCTGATTTCCTTCATAAGATGGTTGACATCAAGTACATTCGGGAAGACCAAAGATAATGAACTTCTGAATTCTTCCAGCGTTGATGGCAATGCAGCTAAGAACTTGGAATGAACGAAAGTAAAATCTGCCAAATAAAATGCAAAATGTTTAAATAACATAACAAGCATGGTCACCACATTCTAACATGAGCAAAAAATTTCCACATAGAGATTGACCATTAAGAGAGTTGTGGGCAACAACAGGTTTTGAGAAGCGGAAATCAAATCGATCACCTCTCGAAAGCCACGGAGGCGTTTATTATGCTCCTTCTCCTCATTTTGAAGTTCCTTCTGTGAGTACAAAGCAATATTCATAGAAGGAGAAGATAATCATCAACAAGCAGCTAAACCAAAGTTCGTAAGCTAGTTTATTACCTGTAAAAGAATCCTGTCTTCTTCTGAACTTGTCAAAACAACTCGAACAGGCCTTATTGTTCCTCCCTTTGCTGGGTTTAGCAAAGGTATGACGTCAACAAAATTCTTCAGTGTCTGGCCCAACAGAAAAGTTTAATAAATATCAGCTAGAACAAATTAAGTGATTTTTTGTTCCATGTAATGGGATATACAGGACCTTTAACATTGATAACAATTAATTTCTATAGGCATCATTCTTCAGGACATAATCAAATTTGGAACATTGTATGCTACCATAAACTCTACCTCTACGAGGTAGTGGCAAGGTCTGCGTACACTCTACCCTCCCCAGACCCCACCTAGTGGGATTTCACTGGGTATGTTGTTGTTGTTGTTGTTGTATGCTACCATAAACAGCATCTTTAGCTTCGGCTTTTTTTTGTTTGTTTTGTTTCTATGAAAATTCAAGAGCACAATTCAAAAGGTAAGAAAGAAAAGATAGACACCTCCATCACAAGACGCACTTGACGTTCACTGCAGACATCTATGCTCAAGCAAGGTCTGGATCCATATACGTCATCTCCCGTGACAATTTTTCTCAAGGAACTGATTAGAGCATCTGCAAGACGTCATGAGTATAAAAAAGAGAGCAAAGAAGAGTTGAATTGACAAAGATAATTCTGCTCACCTTCAGGCTTCTTGTTTGTGTCTTTGCAAGCAGTTATCCAATTCTTAACTCGAGATTTGATCCTTTCTGCAAATACAGAATCAGCAACTGTATATCCTGATGGAGTTTGAACTGTACAGATTATAGGTGATGCATTTCCAATTCTATCTACTGCAGCTGATTCTTGTGATTTGGATAAATATGATATGCCTGTCAGAACAAGAAAGGTAGGGTGCAGGAAGGTTACTTCGGCTTTCAGGCAAAAGCTACTCAGCCAGCTAAAGGTATGCAAGAGAAAACTATAGCATCTACTATAGAAAAAGTGTAAAAATAGAACTGTTCTTTTTAAATTAAAAAAAAAATCTCAGCTGTCAAATAAAACTGATAAGATTCAAAACAAAATGATTGAGGTAGAAGAATTATGTTTCAAGGCACTTCAATTCTAGAACTTGAGCAAAGATATTTCCTTTCATTATTAGCATCTGCTACTTGTTCTTTGCACGTGATTACATAGAGAATGAGGCAGCTGGAGCAGCAACTAGAGAGATTTTTCCTTGCCATACATATCTATATTCCAATAACGGATGTTGGGTATAGGTGCTTTGGTCATTGCTAAAGCCACTGAACATTTGTTTTTGGCAGGTAACCTAAGGATTCTAATAATAGATTAACCATCAAAATAAATAACAGAAACATGTCAGTTATGAGTTACATTTCAAACCAGTCCAGCTCAGCTTACCATCATATATGCAGGCATTGAAATCAAAACCTTCTTGAGCCATAGAGGTCAAGTATGATGATTGACAAGAGAAACTATAAGATGGCATCCCTATTTTTAACTCATCACGAGGGAACAAATGAAAGTTGTATCTGCACAAAAAGCACAAAACACTTGTCATTCATGTCTCATGTTTCCCTTTCTCAGACAAAATGATTAGTTAGAAATATAGCAACTAAACCTTCATCTGAAATTGCACTTACATCAGCACCAAACTAACACAAGAAAGAGTGAACACCACATTTTCAGTAAGAATTTGAGCATTAGAAGCATATTTGACAATTAAAAAATTAGAACCAACCCTGCCGTCCACCTCCAATATCCTGCCTCATAAAACTAGGTACTTCTTCAATAGAAGAAGATACTTTACACACTTGAGCAAACCGAATAGCTTTTTAATATACAATTTTAAACCATCTAAACATTGAACCCAAGACTTGTGATTGAACAGAACATTAGTTGAAATTTATACACAACACAATCTTAAGAATTGAAATTAAGAATTAAATGAGTGAGTTGAAGGTGACGCACGGGTGCACGATGAGCTTGGAACCCTTTATGGAAAAGGGGCAAACGGCGAACTGAAGGACCTGAAACCGTTCGGCGGCGTATTTGGCTTTAAGATAGGCGGTGTGGGCGGTGTCAATAGGCATAATACGTTGCCAGGGTGCAGAGTAGGCTCCGGTATTCTTCAATGAGACAGCAATGAAATCAGAGTCGGAAATACAATTGCTTATCTCTTCAAGTGCCGCTGAGAAGTTGGATTTTGTAACTTGCTTTACATTCCATTTGCTCTGGCTATGTCCGGGGTTTGATTGGACAACGGTATTCGAAATCCTCGAGCAAATCAACCGCCTCTGTAACATTGAAACACGAATATACCTCCAGTGTTTGCTGTCCTGATAAACTCCGATGACTTTTCTCGGAAACGGCAGGACAGATACCACAGTTGAGCGCCACCAGAGCCAGTTACAGTGCTGTATTATGAACTATTTATTTGGACCACATGACAATTGGAAAGGTTACAGATAGGTCCTGCAGCTTTGAAATTTCTGCAATGAACTCACCCCATTTTAATTTTTTTGGGGAACTAAGCAAAATAATTACAATTATGTAACCAATTATATTTTTATCCCAACTAAATAATTACACTATATACTCCAACTAATTTTGCTTAATTAATACTAAACCAGTATCATATATTGTATTAATATCATTTAGTCTGATAATTTTGCTTAACTGATACTAAATCAATATATATATATTAGGTACTAAGATTCCTTCTAAGACTTCTTTTTAAGATGCTTCTCTTAACCTCTTCTCGTTAGCTTATAATGTCGATTCATCTAATTTTTAAAGAAAAATAATTCTTATATCATCCTAATCTATATTGATAGCTCAAATATACTATCTAGGCACACATGAAAACTCATAAATTTGATAAGAACCTCATCTGACTACATACGATCTCGGGTACACCTCTTAAAACTCTTGTTAATCTAGTGACTTTAGTCATACTTCATTTCTATCATCTAAAATTAAGAATCTCACTCTTGTACCACTCATATTCATTATAGCTAACATCTTAATTCCTCACCTACTCTATGTCAAGTCTACCATATCAGATCTCAAAACTAACATTATAACCCTCGTGTTGCCATCTTTTTGACCACGACACTCATCTCAAATTCAAGCGTAGTGTCTATTACTAAACATGAATATCAATATAATTCCTCACATACTATACTAATACTAATCACGAATATCAATATAATTGCTCACAATACTACATACTATACTAACTCATTACTAATAGATAAAATTAAGAAATACTCGTCCACTAAGACTTCATGACAACTAGTCAGTCTCTATGTTCATTCTACCTATTTACATATTATCGACAATTTCTTTCACAACTTAAAGTACTATTTACCCACTTACTATACATCATTACTTAATTAGTTCTATAATACTCTGAATACCATAGGGCTCTCCTTTTAAAAACCATAAGCCTAGATAAAACCTATCACAAACACGAATAACTCGGCTCTTTTATTGAACCATTATACTTGGCCGATACTAATGCATTGACACCTCATCATAAACTTCTTTCTAGTTAAAGTATACTCTAACTTATCCTTACTAGTAACTATTACTCTACCTTCTATCATGAAAATCTTCACAACTCATTACTTCTTAGTCTACCTATAAGGAAAAAAATCCACCATTAATAACTTACTGGGTGCATGACTACTATTAATATCCTATCCTACGCTGGCTACGTAGTTTATAGGACTTTCAAATCATAAAAGACTCTAACCCAATTCGGTGCTCGATACTACTCCCAATCATATATACTCATGCTCAATGTTTAAAACATACTCTTCCTCTAGTTTGAGATAATTGCTCCAATCTATCCTTTAAAAGAGGTATCTGCTCTTGAAATATCTTTGAACTCATAACTCATTTAGAAATCAAAGTTTCTCTTTATCAATGTACAAAACTGATACCTTTGGGAATACTTAGTTCCCTTATACTTTTACTCAATTCATATTTGAAAACTCTTTCTCAAAAATATATCAAAATCATATTGTGATATGATCATTGATGACTCGGGAAGTCATACTGCATAAACATTGATGGCATAACTAAATACCATACTGGTTAGACATTGATGTCATACTCGATTGTCATACTAATATGTTTTACAAACTCTTTCTCAAAACTCGTCTTTACTTCCTTAAAATATAGTTTAAAACTCAAGTGTTGGCTTTAAAAACCTTCTCAAGATTTATAACTCAATTCATAGGGTTCATGCGGAATTATGAACATGAACGAATCACGTTAACTCAGGGACCTTAATGGCAATATGAAAACTCAGTACTCAGAACTCAAAAACTCAGAACTCAACGATTCTACTCATCTAAAAAATACTCAATTCATAGGGTTCATGTAGAAATATAGACATGAACGAATCAACTCAAGAATATTAATGCATAACATATAGCAATTCAATAATTAGTAATAGAATTTTAAAAAGAAATAGGAACTCAAGAACTCAAAATCAACTTATCTCATGAATACTCAAATCTAGGGATAGAATCCTAGATTACTCTTTACTAATTTGAAAGTAGATGTAGGGTATGCTGATGAACTAGTCCAACACTATGATAGTCTTACATACCTAAAAGAACAAGGTTCTTGAAGAATCTTGAAAAGAACTTGAATAGAAGCCTTGAAACCCTAGCTTGAAGGAGAACAATCAAGAAAACCTTTCTTGAGATTCTTGAATTAGTTTCTTGGAATCTCTATGTCCAAGAATTATGATTTTCATTGATTCATAATTGCATGGAGGAATTTGAGTTGGAAGAATGAAATTCTTGGAGAAAAACTTGCCTTGAAAAAGAATCTTGAAAAAGAGTGAAAGAATCTTGAATGTAGTCTTCTACTTTGATTTTTCGTTAGGGTTTTACCTTAGGGTTTTGAGAGAGAAGAGAATAGGGGATTAAGAGATGAAAATCTGATTGTTTTGAGCCTTTAATTAGTCAAGAAATTCATGTAGGGTTTTCTTAGAGGTAAAAAGACAAAAACGACCCTTTTTAATGTTTTTCCGTCGGCTAATTCGTCACTACACTGTATCAGGTTACTAAAATGGTCATAACCTTTGAGTAGAAACTCGGATTGACGCGAAATTGGTGGCGTTGGAAAGAAGATTCAAATACCTTTAAGGAATAATTACGTGGGTGGCCTTTTTAAAAAAATAATTACTTATTTTAAATATACTCTCTAATTATTACCTTTTTATAGCAATATATAACAATACATAACAATACTATGTAGTATTTTATTAGATTTCTATTTTTTGTCTAGCCTCTTTCTCCTTTTTCTCTGTCCCCTCTTTCTCTTTTTTTTTTGCCTCCCTGTGCAAGGTGTCAATTTTTTAAAACTGCAATTGAAAGATCCACAATCTTCAGTCACACATTCAGTTTGTTATGCCTCTAAAAGGGAGAATGAATTCTTGAGCTCATTCTTTCTCTATTTGTCCCTAGAAATTAAGTTGCCAATCACTATAATTCATGAGTTCATGTTCTTAATGAATAACATATGTATTATACATGTCTTACATATTGAAGTAAAGCAGTACGATCAGATTAGTCATGTTTTTTTCGAAGCATCACCAACAAACTACATGAATTAAACTTGAATTAAAAATGTATTACGCACATATTAAAATTGAATTAGAAGAGAAATAAACACGAATGCAAAATGTAGCAAACGAATGAGCAGTCAATGATTCATAGACTGAATAAAACTTGTATGAATAATTAATTAGACAAGTAATCTAATCGTAACAAATGAAGAAACATAATAAACTGTCAAATGAATTAAACTTGAATTAAAATGTATTACACACATATTAAAGTTGAATTAAAAACAAATTAAATATTAATGCAAAATGTAGCAAATGAAAGAACATTTTGTAATATGTAAACTAAATAAAATGTGTATCAATAATGAATTAAACAGGTAATTCAATCCTAACAAATCAACCAATAAACTGCAAAATGAATTAACTTGTATTTGAAAGTGTATTACACAAATATTAAAGTTGAATTAGAAGAGAGAATTAGCCATGAATAAAAATGTAACTAATGAAAGACCAGACAATCTATAAAGTGAATTAAACTTATATCAATAATGAATTAAACAAATAATCTAATAATGTCGTTCACCGAGGCTACCCCTAGGACGTAAACACGGGACTTAGGATCACGAGTGACCCCAAGCTAACCCTGCTGGCATATCATAAGCATACTAAGATAAACTGAGATAAGAAATATTATGCAGAAGCTTAAACATGACATAAAGGGAAATGATGGGGGATACCTATTCTAAATCTAAATATATCAAACAGAGAGTTCAATAACAACTGAGAGATCAAACTCGAAACTAAAATTGAATCTAACTATGTCTGAATAAAAGCCTCTAACTAACTAGAGCTTCTGGGACATGCCTCCAACTAACTTCTAGCAAAACTAAAACTGAAAGACTGAAAATAAGAAGATAACATGTCAATCGCCCTCGAAGAATGAGGACTCACCACTGATGCTTCTAAACTGGAGATTGGGAACCGATCTATGCATGATCTGAATGTTGAGGACCTGAACCTACATCACGAGAAGATGTAGCGCAGAGTATGCGTCCGTACTTGAAAGGTACTAAGCATGCATGATAGGATAAAACTGAAAAATATATACATAACTGAACAAAGCAATAAGAGCAACGACATAATCTAAACATGAAGTAAATACTGAAATATACTGAATACTAACTAACTGAATGCAATGACGAAGTATATGACATGCTGAGACTGAATACTGAACTATAACTGATAACCTGGTCAATGCACTAGAATCTGACTGTGGGAGCTACTGTTAACCAACATAAAACCACGAGAGCTATCCGTGGAGTCCGATGTATCGCCCCATTGAGAGGACGCAATATACCTTGCCAAGGGTATAAAGGCATGACTGACATGATCACTAAAATGTTGCCCACATAGGGAACTTACCCTATGGAGGCACATAGTTCTGGGACTATGAGGGTGACTGACCCTCAGTCCACTCGGTATTAAGCCTACTCCCAACTGATTATGTAAGTAACACATTATAATTGAATTTCTGTAATACTGAATAGCTCAAAATATTGACATGCTAACTGAAAATGCAACATTAATATATTGATAATGAAACATTCTTAACTGAGGCATGTATATCTGAATAAACTGATCTAGCAAGTGTAATTCATGAACTAAACAAATCTACACAACTAGGATTCTGAGTTTCATGAAAAAACTAACCAACAATTCCACGAAAACATGATAATCTAATTTGGATTAGTCTAACAACTAAATCACAACAATATTCTGAAGTTCT